AGGAAGCAACAACTAGAGGATAGATGGATATTTTTTCGCCGTAGGAACAGGAGCCCGTCACTGCTCGGAGAGGGAGGCTAGAGATGTTTATAAATACCTCTCGTGGATGACGTATAATAGATGGATCGTGGTTTTATCGTATTCTGTTAAGAGTAAAACCTCGGGCACGAATATAATTGCCTTTTTCTAATACAACGAGAAGCGAGGGTTTGTATATATAAATTTAGGAAAATAATGATAATAATAAGTTAAATATATATCAAATTCAAGCATTTCATTGAAAAATAAATATGAAGAAAGTAACACAAATAAAATGATATAATACAAAAGAGTAATACTAAGTGGTCTGACTGTTAATTTAATTTAACTCACTGAAAACGACGTACTTTTAATGCAGTTATGGGAGGGAATTTGTCCTCATTTTTAAAGTTGGTCGCCTGCTTAAGATTATTTTACTTTTATATAGTACTAGTAGTGCAGATTGATATGGGATTGGATATGCTGAAAGATATTATAATGACAGGGGTGTGCAAACAAACCGCACAATGAAAAAATATGGAAATTTATCAAATGTTTATACTGGTTAAAATTGGAGTCACCATACTTGACGATAACGAGGGTACTATCGACGCGATAGAAACACAATGTGAACATCAACACCACAACGCCAGTTTTTCCTTGTCTAACGAGAAACGCATGTTTTTACAGAGAATATATCAAGCAATGATGATTGTATTTATTAATACCCGTGATAATGAAAAGGCTGATTGGCAGGCTTGTACTTTTAATAAAACTCTTAATGTGAATAATATTAATTTGTCTGAATATTTAGACATTCAGAGAATAGATGTTTTGTGTTCCAAATTGATCAACGATATAAAAAAGAAAAAAGGACCGACTACAGTTTGGTTGTCTCTTAAATATTTGTATAACTACAACAACAATGATAATAGCAACGATGATGAGCTGAATATCAAAGATGATTTACATCTCCTTATGGCTAGTCAGGATCATGATAACGACGACGATAATGATGATGATACCCGAAAGACAAGAACGATAAAATATTATACGTATGATAAGGATGACATTATCGCGATGAATCATTTTTTTTCATCATCGTCAACACACAAGGTTACCTGTTGCAATCCGAAACATCGAGACAGAAACCCGAGCATGCATCTTTATCATCGTCCGAGTGTGTGGATATCTAGAGTTAAAAAATTTAATCCAACCAAAGAAGAAATAGAATATTTGAATATGCAAGAGTCGGAAGCGACTGAAAGTAATGTTTCGACGTTTAGAGGGTCAAAAGTTCTCTTATTTATTGTATCTGCTCATTGTTATTCTTGTAATTATCATGTGCATTTTTTATCCAAGTCAGATTTAGAAAAATGCTATCTGACCATTATATAAAATCAGTATGTAAAGTATGTGTGTATACGATAACGTTGTAAAATGTAGGTGTATTAATAAAATGAAAAATATAATATTCGTATTTATTTTTTATAACACCAACATCTTTCCATGAGTGACAGCGTTGTGGAGGGAGGTAAAGGAATAAAAAAAAATATATGCGTGTATATATTATGTACTCACTAATATTAATAACATTTACTTGTATGAACAAGAACAATGGCAAACACGACATGGAGCGACGTGGATAAAACTATAGAACATTATATAACACACCATAAATTTAATACCAATATCTCTCATAACGAGAGACGACGAACCGCCCTCATTACCGCACTCAATTATTTATACGAAAATTATCAATCGTGTATTGACGATGAAAACAATAATAAAGATATCATAAACTGTAAGATTGTTGCAAAAGCGATTAAAAATGTGGTAAGAGGATGTTCAGGTATATTAATTCGTTAGTGCGAGAACATACCGAAATGGTAGAGAAGAAAAAAAACTTTTGTTCCAAGAATCAAAAATACTGTTTTGATGATGTTACGGAAAAAATGTATGATCGATTTATGGAACACACAGATCCCGAAATGGAGATTTGGAGACGTCTCCAGAAAGAAGACTGTGTCAATCGAGACATTGAAATAGAAATGAAAAGAGTACAACACTTGTTACCCAAGAGAATTCCAATATATAATGATAAACGAACGGGTTTCATCGCTACTTCTATTAATAATACTATAGCAGGTAATAGTAAACCCAATTCCGAAATTAGAGACAAGTACTGGGAAGATGATACAGCAATGCGATTATGCTGTGATGATATATCCATAGAATGTAACGAGATATCAAAATTGTTTTGTAAGAGTTTAGTGTACGATCGAAATCGACGAATTAAAATTCCTCAGTATCTAAAACCGTTACATGTACAATGTGTAGAACATGCTTGTTTCCCTAACAATTGTTTTAAACTATTAGTGATGTTGTATAACTTATTTTCTCCCGTGGCTGGTTCCTACATAGCTATTCAGTGTTTTGTGTCGTCTATAAAAAAAGCTCTAGCTTTGGCAGCAAAGAATAAAAAGACGATAGTGCAGGCTACATCGATTCTCGAATCGTTGTCCGGTAAAACGCCGTTGTCATTATCATCAGTCGTTGTCGCAGAGCGGTTGAATATATTCGGTAGCATCGTCGATGAACCTCTGCAAATAAAAAACACAAAATCAAATAAACTAGACGGTGTAGCTACGGTTATTTTACAAAAGAACGAAAGATGTATATTATTCATGCTTTGTGGAAAGATTGCCGAAATGGACACGAATCACCCCTATTTACAACTGTTAACCTCGTGTTTTTCCCACGTCCTCGGGAGAAGCGTGACTCCAAATTATATTCTCATATTGCTTTTGAATTATATCTATAAAAAGTCAGATAATCCTATTTATCATAAACATCTCTCTGTACTCAGTTTTAAAGTTGGACTCTGTGTTAATAACGGCGTACTCGTACCGCTCTGTGGCTTTGGATCCGGCATTACCGAACGTAAGTTTCGACGATTGGCTTGTAGATTCGTCAAAATAATTGGACATAATTACTATATCGACAAAACTAACATTTTACATTTAATCAAGGATGATATAGAAGCGGCAACAGCAGAAGAATTATTACCATCATCATCTCAACTTTCACTTAAAGAGGATACTAGTTGTATTATCGATGAGAGTAAAGAAAAACGCATTGCTGGTATTATTGAAAATTTTTTTGAAGGATTATCAATATCTGAACCTAATGAAGTAGAAGAAGAACAACAACAACAATATAATGAGAGTCAAAAAGAGGAAGAAAAAAAGAAGAGGATAATAGTAGTGGTGAGATTGACAAAAGACAGTGTGGGTGTTCGTGTCATATTGTTGAAGATTTGAAGGGAAAGATCATACATCCATGTAAAAGAAGAAGAGAGATAAAAGAAGAAATCTATGAAAGATCTCTAAACCTAAAACCATCCCTATCTTTAACATTTGGCGTCTGCGGATACAAGTATCTACTGAATAACATATCTAATGCCAGGTTGGACCACCTCGTTCAAAGACAAAAATTAAAAGAACGCAAGACGTTTATCGAAAGAGAATCGGCCTCCAAGACGAGCTGGTACAATTTGATCCAGTATATGTTTAGGGAAAACTCGGACGGTAAAATTATTTATCAGATATGTGTCGGAGAAGAGTGTGTCGGATTTCCAAATTTATGGTTCAGTGCGAATATTTATCTGACATCATACGTAATCTGGAGTTTAAGTTCAATTCTAGTTTACTACCCTTAGGTTATAAAGAGAATATATTCATGAGACTCAAGTCTGGTATCGATATTGCCGTTCACGCAGCAAACTGTTGGCGACAGGTTTGTCTTCACAGAGGTGGATAGACGAAGCGGCAAGCGGCGACGCTCCTCCCGATTGGACGCTAATGTACGCCAGGAAATGTTATGAGAAACATGATGCGAAAAGTGCCGAGTCGGAAAGGGACCGGCCGTTCATCGAGCAGTGGCAGCGGCGGCAGCAGCAGCATCATCATGATGAGAAATTACAATGCCAATTTCCTTATCGAGGTGTCGATCCCATTATTGGGAATGAAATCTTTTTCAAATCAAAAACTTTTCAAGACTCTCTTACCGGTGCTTTTTGGGCTGAATGTTCTTACGATTCTCTGGTGGATGCTTTGAGGATGAAGAAGTTAGTTTCCGAAAACGATAAACATCTCGCGGGTCTAGAATCTCTAGCGAAATCCACCAATTATTCGAATATATTCGAAAAACTAGTATGGAAAATGAAATACAAGTACGACCGCGATACTCTTAATGTTAGGGAAAAAAATGACATATCAAGATGGAGTAGAAAAAATAGCGGTATTCATGGAAAGAAGAGCATAGAATTTGATGTGAATTCTCTAATAGTAGAGGATACCCTATTCGATGGAAAACCTTGTTTCTTTTTCCTGATTGATTCACAAAAAATAAAGAGGAATATTGATTTTATAACTATAGAAAATTTGAAAAGGAAGAAGGGCGGTGAACACGACGATAAAAAAGATGAGATTAGTAGACCCTTTGTGAGGGCTCCCTATATTTCACCTCTCTATAAATCGATTACTAAACCCATTCCAATAACTGTCAAGTCAAGGATATAAATCCTGAAAGAGAAAGAGGGGGATTAAATATACTTTAATAGGTACTTTTATATATATATATATATATATATATATATATATATATATATATATATATATATATATATATATATATATATATATATATGGGAAAAGAATATATAATCATATTAGAGCTCAATGAAAAAAAAAAAATCATTATTATCCCACCAATCTATATAATAGAATCGAGAAAGACAAAAAAAGTATAAAAATAGTAGAGAGGTAGAATGTGAAATTTGATGAGAGAGAAGTAAAAAAAAAGAGAGAATAAGACGCGTATAAAAGCTCGTGCTTTTGTGTAGAACAAACATACTTTCAACTACATCTAGAAAGACAAAAGACGACTTGTCATAGCATCGTTCTATAATCATAACCATGATGTCGACGACCCACTCTCAGACAAGAACCTCTACTACTACTACATCTTCTGATGATGAAGACCATAATACGGAACCGTTTGTGGAACCACCCGTGATTGCTAAAGCTGTATCAGAAAATACAGCTGAATCTGAAACGACATCATTGCCATACAAATCTGAAACGACAATCACCCTAACACCCTCTGTTATAAAAGGAACTCTGTTTTTGCCGATTACAGTCCTAAAAGAGGTACTGCCAAGTGTAAGAGGTGTAGTGAAACGTGCGAAAAGGAAAGCTTCGCATCGGAAAGAAGGTCCGTAACTTTTTTTCAAATGATTGTGATGTAATGACATATTGGTATCACGCCCATTGTATATTTGAGTCTTTTAGAAACGCAAGACCCACCACTATAAAGATTAAGGAACCAGCCGTTGACATCAAGGGGTGGGAAAAACTCCTTGAAGAGGATAAGAATAATATTCTTGCTATGGTGCGATCTGCATCCAAATCTGAAGAGGATAAGAATAATATTCTTGCTATGGTGCGATCTGCATCCAAATCCAACCATCAACAACCTAGGCTCTCAAAAAATGTTCAGTGCTACAACAGATTATTTTCCACCTTTTGTGACCTCTGCAATTCCATAGCCAAAGAACCAAGCTATAGAGAAAAGACAAGAATTGTATCCGATCTATTGTTAACTCTGTCTATCGAAGATCTCGGATTGTGGATCCGTCTTCTTCTCCCGTGCGAGTTAAGGCGGATTTACAACATTAAGTCTAAACAGCTGGTCAAGCTCTTTGGACAGTTGTTTGGAGAATCCGTTGAAGAGATGACAAGAGATCTTGACATGAGCGGCGACGTGGCTGATACCATTACAAGATTCTATTGCAAACGATATTCAGCGAATCATTCGCCAAAGATCACCCTCCGAGAGGTCGACCAGATACTCGCTAATCTGGAAGGCAAGACTAAAGAGACGGAACAGCTAGCCATTCTGCATTCTGTTGTCTACAAAAATTTGCCTCCAAAAGAATTCATGATGATTGTCCGTCTCATCGAGTGTAACTTGCGAATTAACGCAGGTCCCAAGCACATCCTTGATGGTGTACACAAGGACGCTTATGCAATATTTCAAACTACTAGAGATATTGACATGGTACTGAGTAAGGTAATGAAGAATCCGTCTAGTTCTTTCGGCTCTTCTGTGTCTGCTTCTGCTGTTGTCCTCATTCCAGTAAAGCCAATGTTAGCAGAAAGATGCAAGTCTGTTTCACATGCATTCAGAAAGTGCGGCAATCAGACAATCTATTCGGAAATCAAGTATGATGGTGAGCGTGTACAGATTCACAGGAAGGGCACTATCACAAAGTATTTTACTCGCTCTCTAAAGCCTGTCAATGAGCACAAGATTAAACAATTTGACAAATATATTCCGATGGCCTTTCCCGAATCTGACGAATATATATTAGATGCCGAGTTGGTGATGATGGATAATGAAACGGGCATGCCCTTACCTTTTGGTACATTGGGAAGAAAGGAGATGGAAAAACACGAGAATGCAAACCCATGCCTATTTGTCTTTGATTTGCTATTATATAACGGAGAGGATCTCATGAAAATGAAGATGTGTGAACGCAGAAGAATGCTGGAGGAGAATATGGTGAAACAGAAGAATCGAATAATGTTGTCGGAAATGGTCAAGATCGAACAACCTTCGGAACTAGAACATGATCTCGCGAGTTTTGGGTGACGGCCTCGAAGGACTGGTGCTAAAAAAAGCCAACGGGGAATACGAGCCGGGCAAGCGTCACTGGTTAAAGATCAAAAAGGACTCTATCTACGGAGGAGCCATGGCAGATACGCTGGATTTGGTAGTACTCGGAAGTTGGTACGGGACAGGCAAAAATAAAGGCAAATTGTCAGTATTTCTCATGGGATGCTACGACAAAAGGAGTGAAGCATGGAGGACCGTGGCTAAGGTGCACACGGGCCATACCGATGCTACTTTAAATCGCCTGCAGGGACAATTGATGTCAAATATGATGAGATATAATGACGCCTTTAACTCTATAGGGTTAAATTATAACCTGAAACTGGACAAGAATATGAAGCCGGATTTTGTTGTGATTGACCCTAAAAGATCACCAGTTTGGGAAATTATTGGAGCCGAAATAACCAAACAGGAGAATCAGAATCACCATACGGCTCATGGTATATCTATCAGGTTCCCGAGAGTAAAGTGCGAACGGGATGACAAGACGTGGGAAACAGCAACTTCTATGCAAGAACTAATGCATCTGTATGATATCTCGGTTTCAGTCAACAAGAGGAAAACTGAAGAAAAGAAAGAAGCTGTTTTAGAAGCTAAGAGGAAAAGATTAGGTAATAGATATGACTTGATGTAATATAAATTATCATATAATTTATACTAGTTATCACTTGATGTAGATTAATATATATATATATATATATATATATATATATATATATATATATATATATATATATATATATATATACAAATACTGTTTATAGTTATCATAAGATAATAAATGATATAAATCATTAAATTTTTGTTATTGGTTAACATATAATGTAAGACTAGATAGATAAGTATATAATCACTGTTCCAGATATAAAAATAAAACATAAAAAATTAAAACTTTATTTTCGTTTTATATTGTCCTTTATACTATCTAAGCTTTGGGCAAGATGGAAGGAATATTGAAACTATAAATCCATATATATATATATATATATATATATATATATATATATATGTATACATGTGTGTGAAATATACTATTTATTAAAACGCTTTCAAGGAAGATGGCCAAAGATTATTACAAGATCCTCGGCCTGTCCAAGGATGCCTCTGAAGGAGATATCAAAAGAGCCTACAGAAATATGGCCCTCAAGTATCATCCAGACAAGAACAAATCGAATGATGCCGAGGAAAAATTTAAATTAGTCGCAGAAGCCTACGAGGTTCTGAGTGACAAGAAGAAGCGAAATCTATGACCAGTATGGAGATGAAGGTTTGAAGGGTGGAATGCCAGGCGGTAGAAGCACCGGTGGCACTCACTTCACCTATACATACTCGGGTGATCCTAGAGCCACCTTCGAACAAGTCTTTGGCACCAATAACCCCTTTAGTCATTTCTTCAATATGGGTGTGGACGGCCATGGCACTCACGACGTGTTTGAGGACATGTTGGTTGGCGGGGGATCTCACGTGGGTGTAAAGACTCGGAGGACCTTCAGTTTTAACCCACACGATAATAACCCTTTTAGTCGTTTTTTCAATATGGACGTTGATGGCCTGGATGGCGACCCTCCGAGGTTCCGCGAGAACAAAGGTCGTAACCAAGACTCGGCAGTTATCAGGGACCTGTACGTGTCGCTAGAGGAGGTCTTCACGGGCGTCACCAAGAAGAGAAGATCACGAGGAACGTGCTGCTGACGGCGGACGGGCGGTCGACACTGCGCGAGGAAAAGATCTTAACCATCGAGGTCAAGCCAGGGTGGAAGGAAGGCACCAAAATCATTTTCGAGAAAGAGGGTGATCAGTCACCAGGGAAGATTCCCGCAGACATCATCTTCATCATTAGAGACAAACCTCATCCTCTGTTCAAGCGCGATGGAGCAAACCTCGTATATACCGCCAAGATACCTCTACGCGATGCCCTGCGTGGCACTCTTGTCTCCGTTCCTACCCTGACTGGTCAGCGGGTCGCCCTCAACTTTAACAAGGAAACGACGAAACCTCAAACAACCAGACGTCTCCAAGGATACGGTCTTCCCTATCCAAAGAATCCGACGAGGAAGGGTGATATTATCGTCCACTTTGATATCCAATTCCCTTTGAATTTCTCTGAAAGTACCAAAGCACATGTATTGAAATCCCTATATTTACAAGAATAAACTTGTATCATATCGCACCTAATCTGGTATTCTATATAATATCCTGGTTGATGTGTTATATATACATTATATATATATACATATATATATATATATATATATATATATATATATATATATATATATATATATATATATATATATATATATATATATATTCAACAAATACTGTATATAGTTACCATAAGATAAAAATGATATAAAATCATTAAATTTTTGTTATTGGTTAACATATAATGTAGAACTAGATAGATGTATAATCACTGTTCTAGATATAAAATAAAACATAAAATAAAACATAAAAATTAAAACTATATTTTCGATTTATATTGTCCTTTAAATCATCTAAGCTTTTGGGCAAGATGGAAGGAATATTGAAACTATAAATATATATATATATATATATATATACACACATATATGTCTATATACATATACATATATGTATATATATATACATATATATATGTGTGTGTATATATGTATACACATGTGTGTAAAATATATCATCTATTAAAACGCTTTCAAGGAAGATGGCCAAAGATTATTACAAGATCCTCGGCCTGTCCAAGGATGCCTCTGAAGGAGATATCAAAAGGGCCTATAGAAATATGGCCCTCAAGTATCATCCAGACAAAAACAAATCGGATGATGCCGAGGAAAAATTTAAATTAGTCGCAGAAGCTTACGAGGTTCTGAGTGACAAGAAGAAGCGAAATATCTATGACCAGTGTACAGAATCGTCGTTTATGTATCGATTCATGTGCCTCATCTTCCGAATATTGTTGTTGCTGTCGATCCAATATTGGGATAGTAGTGATTGATCAATAATATTGGTGTTGTTAGTTGTTAAAGTCTTTGACTATATATATATACATATATATACATATATATATATATATATATATATATATATATATATATATATATATATATATATATATATATATATATATATATGTATATTATAATGATATAAAAAAACATGGAATGGGAAAGACTGATATATATATGCAAATTTTTATTATCGGTTGTTCTTTTTACCGCCCGTTATTATTTGTACAATTCTTTTCATCTCTCATATACTTTCATCACAAAATTTTTTTGGAGAATACCTATACAAATTCTCAACCAGACTACCACAAGTCGATCCAAAAAAAGCCGCTGTTTTAATATATGGACACGGAGATGATAATGAGGGTTGTCATCAAACACCCACACTTGATTGGTTACCTCAAAAGTTGATAAATGATTTACGAAGGACTTTGATAGATCCCAGATCTTTTCTCGTAACATCGTACGGAACACATTTAGGTCGATCGGATTATATATCGATACCCCTGTATATACTTAAAATTGACCGATAATAATATATATATATATATATATATATATATATATATATATATATATATATATATATATATATATATATATATATATATATATATATGTTATTTATTTTAACTGAATGGAATGATTAATGATCCTTGTTATATTTTCACCTACAGGTTAAATGAAAATCTACCTTTATAATTTTTTTTTTTTACCTACAAATAATTTAAAATCTGCCGGTGTTATATTTGTGCAGTATACATAACAATGAAGGCAACGAGGTCTCAAGTGTCGACCCGAAAGGGTGATGACGCTCTCTTCAACATAAATGATTCTAGTGACAACAACGATTACGAGTATAACAAAGATACCAAAATACTGGTGAATATTGTCAACTAACTCGTATATAACTGAACGAGTGCAAAAAATGTTACTTGATCTTTTTTATATAAACAAAATAATACTTATTAAAGATATTTCATTTATCCATAATATATGTATTAATATTTCTAACCTTCTTTCTCATTTTCTGAGTATAGTTGTATCTCCAAGAATTCTTATGAGGATGAAACAAGTATAGGGGAGAATAAAAGAAATAAGTAGAAAAATTGTTTTATTAATAATTTTATTCAACAAGCTTCCATTATACAAGTATACATAATACATTATGTCATTAATATATATTTCTAATCTAACCAAAAAATCATGTGCCTCTTCTTCGCAACATTGTTATTATTTATAGGGAAAGGTTAGAATAATACATTTATCTTTCTTTTTGCTTCTGAAATTCATTCTTTCCTCTTATTGATTGATACTGATACATCACCTGACTCCAATAGGTCATACAACAATGTTGTTATTGCCCATGTCTTGTCATTCCGTTGTTCGACTGGAATATTCGGGAATTTGATGGATATGTCAAACACACAATTTTCGGGATTATGCTTTTGTTGAACTCTAGAAGTTGTCGATCCATTATCGGGAATACTAGCAGCAATAGTTGATCTTGAAGTCGGCGGTTCAACATCGTTGGCGTTGTCAAATGTCGAAGTCTTTTTTTTCTTATACGAGGATATATATGGTGCTAATTTCTCGAATTCTCGATTAAGATCTAGTGGTATTTGTGGAACTGCCATTTTGAGTTATAGTCTGATAATTCTTTTATTACAAATACATATATATATATAATGAGATGTTCTTATTGTAACATACCCCCAAATATATATATATATATATATATATATATATATATATATATATATATATATATATATATATATATATATATATATATATATATATATATATATATATATATATATATATATATATATATATATATATATATATATATATATATATATATATATATATATATATATATATATATATATATATATATATATATATATATATATATATTCTATCGTATTTTTTTTTTTTTTTTTGAATACTTCAATGATGAAAATTGTCCACAATTAACTAGAAAAT